CATTGCCATTTAAATACTGCAGGTGCGTGAATTCAGTAAAATAATCCAATATAGTCCAGTAGTCCATAATAGTAGAGGGTTATCCGTAGGACACTGCGTTAGAATGCACTCTTATCTAGGACATCGGTAGCCCACAGCCCTACAGCTATGCATACTGAGCACCAGCCTTTACTTTCAACTCTGGCAAAATTTACCTATTTGGTTTCACTGGTTATGTACATGCCTCCATTGGCTTTTTCTAGACAGCACTTACCTTCTGAGGCTAGGAACTAGGCCCAATCTGGGAGAGCAAGGAATGTCCACACTTCTCCAGTCAGACATCCCAGGCGCTGGCACCCAGGATCAGATGGCACTGGTGTTGGAGCAAAAGCTGTGTGCCCCACTTACCCTGCACTGGCACTCTGTCCTCAGCACGCGCCCTTATAGGAAGCTTACCTTTTCTTTATTCACTTTTTTAATTGCCCACTTAGTGTCTGTTTCCTTGTCTGTAGCTTCAAAGACCATTCCAAAACTCCCTTGTCCCAGTATTCTTCCAAAAGTATAGATTTCCTAGAAACAAAAGAAGAGTTTCTTTATTGGCCCCTCTCTGTCATTCACCTGGTGTTTAAAATGAACATGCAACACTGACAGACCCTGGGCACTGGGGCCACAGGAGGAGATCCTTCTCCGGGGTACAATCAGGAGACACTGCCAGCACACATTTGCTTCAGTATTAACAAATAGATCTTAATTAACCTCAAATAAGACTTGATTAAATTTTCATTGTCCCCCTTTGGAGGGAAACTATAAAAGTCTTAATGGTGAAATAGGTAAAGCTTTAAAGTATAAAAAGAAATGTTTTCCAGTCTATAATGTTAATGAAATATCTGTGAGCAAAAGGATAAACAGAACATTAATACATACACGTGTATGTGTTTGCCTGTGTGCATGTATATAAATAATACATTCACCCAGAAAATTATCCCAGTACGTGCTAGAAGTTTTATTTTATTTTATTTTTCATTTTTTATGTACTTGGTACAGGTTCTCACTATGCAGCTTGGACTTGTAGTGGTCCTCCTGTTTTCAGTCTCCCCAGTGGTGGGATTACAGGCGTGCAGTACCACACCTGGACTCTGTCACTGGCTCAGCCTGGGGGTGGGGCCAGCAGGGCATGCAGGACCAGGGGTCGAACCCTGGTCCCTGTGCTTGGGAAAGCAGGTGCTTAGTTCACTGAGCTATCTCACTGACCCGTGACAGAAATTTTAATATAAATTGGCCCTGAGAAGAAAATAAATACCACCCATAATTATACCATCCAGGCCAACAAACTTTCCACTTATTTTTCCCCCTCTGCTTATCATGTACTTTAAAAGAGAGAATGTGTCACTTTTACCAATAGCAGAATTCTGGTTCACCGAGCAGTGTCCGGGCCCACTCTGCAGGAAAGCTGAGCTGGGGCACTAGGCGAGGCCTCTGCCAGGTCTGGCAGCCGAGGCCTTCCCTGCGGAGACCACCGTTCTTCCTGTTTGGTATTTAGTACAGGGTGCACAGGGTCTCACTACACAGATTGGACTCGTAGTGATCCTCCTGTTTTCAGCTTCTCAAGCGCTGGGATTACAGGCGTGCACCACCACACCCAGGCTCAACTGCTGTCTCAGCGCGCTCTGGGGGCGGGGCCGGCATGCAGGAGCAGGCGCAGTAATCAGCTCAGCTATCAGGCCAGCCTGCCAAGACTACTTTACCTTTCTGTGGAGCCACTTGCACCTTTGCCATGAAACCGAGAAACAAGCCCCTCGCATTTCCTACTGCTCACACTCCATTCTTATTTTCCTGAAGGAAGATTTGGTACCTACCAGCACCCCTCCTTCTTGTAGGGCTCCCCGACCGCCCCTGCATGGTGATCACGCCTTCATTTGTGCTCCTTCTGCATGACACGCCAGTCCTCAAACTTTATTGCTCTCTTGCTAATACTGGCTCACATTTTTCTTCCAAGATGGTAGAGACGGACTCCGAGGAGCTGCTTCTTTTGTAGCCCTTAAAAGAACTAGAACTTTCTTTGTCCCTGATACTACTTAATAGCATAATAGTAAGAATCAAAAGTCAGAAAACTTAGATGATTAAGAAAGTAAGATAAAAGGGCTGGCTAGATAGCTCAGCAGACTAAAGCGCCTGCTTAGGCAAGCACAGGGACCAGGGTTCGATCCGGTTTGTCATGCCGGCCCGCCTCCGGGGTGCACTGAGATGACTGAGACTAGGTATGGGGGCGCACGCCTGTAATCCCAGCATTGGGAGGCTGAAAACAGGAGGATCACTATGAGTCTGAGCTGCGTAGTAAGACCTTGTACCAAATAGATAAATAAATAAATTTAAACAAATTTTAAAAAGTCAAAAAATAAAGTTAGGATCCAGACCTTCATCAGGCCACGGCCCAGGTGCAGGCTTGGTATGGTCACCCACCTGGACACAGAGAACACTGCAGAGGAGCCCCGGCCCATCAGTGCCTTTACATTATTTTGGATATGGCCACGCCACACTGGTTGCTACGGGGGGGGGGGGGGTCACTGGCTACACAAAAGTAGGTAGCGTGCCGAGCTTGGCTGCTGGGCTCCTTTTGGGCAGCTTAGTGGGCCTTGGGCTTACCAGTTGTTTCAGGACCCCAAGAACATTTGGGTTTTCCTAGTTTTGTCTGGGACCTTGGCTGGCATTATGGAAACGAGATTCTACCACTCTGGAAAATTTATGCCTGCAGGTTTAATTGCAGGTGCCAGTTTGCTGTTGGTTGCTAAAACTGGACTGAATGTGTTGAGCAGGCCACATTCACAGTGCTCACTCAGGAAGAATTAAAAACTCCAGACTTCCAATTTTAAATGTATTAAAGAAATACAGAACATGTACATACTTTAGCATTTTACTTAAAACAAAAAATTGAACTTGGTGAGGAAAAGGGTTAGTCACTAGCATCACACCCTTCGGAGGTGGTTGTATAAGCAGAGAGCTCAGTGATGCCCTCACATGGCTGGGTCTCCTGTAGTTGAGCTCACCTCTTGTTTCCGTATCAGAAGTTAAAAATCACAAGCAGTAAGATGCTAGCATCAACACTGGGGCCCCCAAAGCCTCATGCCCTGCTCAGAACATTATGCAAAACTTCTGGTGTGTTCTTTTGCTCATATTAGAGTACAGACTTATTTTGAAAGTATGTGAAATGGAATAATGAAAATCAAATTTATTATAAATAAAA